CTAAGTTTGATCCCTGGTACAGAAGAAAAAAGAAGAAAAAAAAAAAGGACACAAAATTTTTTGACAAAAGGAAAATATTGTGGCAGAATATATTTTCCATAAATGATCACACCAACTCATATTCCACATGCTTTTCTTACAAGATAACTTCCACATCCTACAATTGAGAGTTGTGGTCTAGGTCCTTTCTCATTAACACAGTGGTTTGTGACTGCTTCAGTAAATGGAGTACAGAATATAAGTGATGCTATATGACTTCTGAAAACGTTATAAAAGTCAGCGCGACTTTGGCCTTGTTCTCTTGGGATTGTCACTCTTGGAAGGCTCACTTATGGCAAATAGTCGTCAGGTTGTGAGGAAGCCAAGAAGCCAAATGAAAGGGCTACATCTAGATATTTTAGCTGACAGTTCCAGCTGATTTCCCACAAAGTGCCAGCTGTGTGAAGAACAGTCTTCAGAGTTAAACCCAGAGAATGACTCTTGAGAACATATGTTGTTCACTGAGATTCCACCTCACCCCACAAAAAATGGCTGCTATCAGGAAATCAACCAATAACAAATGTTGGCGGAGTTGTGGAGAGAAAGGAACCCTTCTCCATTGTTGGTGGGAGTGCAGACTGTGCAACCACTATGGAAATCAATATGGAGATACCTCAAAGAGCTGGGACTAGAGGCTCCATTTGATCCAGCTATAGCTCTGCTGTGCACCTATGTTTATAACAGCACAGTTTTCAATAGCTAAAACTTGGAAACAGCCCATTTGCCCATCAGTTGGAAACTGGATAAAGATGTGGTTTTTCTATAAAATGGAATCACTACTCAGCCATAAAGAATGAGAAATTAGAGTCATACATAGGAAAATGGATACATTTTGAGGATACAGTCTTAAGTGAATTAAATAAGTCACACATGTATAAATACCAAATAGTTTCTCTGGTGTAAAAAACCATAATAGTACACAAGATCCTAATGGGATAATCAACAATGTGGAATAGGAAGCAAAGGGCTAAAGGTGTAGAGAAAGTGGGAAGGGTAGGGGAAAGGGAATAAGGGAAAAGATAAAAATAAGAGAAAATGAAAAAATGGAAATAAAGTATTTGTAAATGGGTAGGGGAGGAGGGGGTGAAGGGAAGGCAGGGACAAGGGTTAAAAATGAGAACCAAGACCTGTCATGTAAAGCTACAAGATCCCAGTAATGAATGTAACTGTATTGCATACCTAGAATGTACCAATAAACTCAATAAAAAGAAAAAAAAAAGAGAATGTATGTTGTTGTTCAAGCCACTAAATTTGTGATGCAGTGGGAGATGACCAGATGACAACATATATTTTAGTATATTTAAATCATGTTCAATCTCTTGGGTCACATATCTTAACTTATCATTGTGATCAGTGAAACATTCATATAACACATAGTTATTAGAATTATGCAGGTCTGTCCTTGGCTTTATATTTTCACAAGGCAATTCTTCAAGTATGAAAAACTTGGCAAGTTCAGTTGATTAGGTTATTCCTTGATTCTATGAGTCCTATACACTAATATCAGTTTAGGAGCTGTGGACAGGTTAGCCTGACATCTCACCCCACAACTGCCAGCGCCTTTGCTCTAAGCTGTATCTTCAACCTTTAAAATTTTCTCTAAGTTTTATTTTTGAGACAGGCTCTCACTAAGTCTGAGCTAAACCGCTTGTTCTTTCCATCCTCCTGCCTCAGGCTCTCAGAGTGCTGGGATTAGAGGAGTATGCCACCACACCTGGCTAGTGGTAGTTTTCAAATGAAAAACCAAGAAGTTTCTTGCCTCTTCCTTTCCTCACATCTGAAGAATACTCATTTTTCCATCTTTATCCCAATAGTTTTGAATAGGTGACAGAGGATGGAGATGGGTATGAGTATTTATGCAACTATTACAAACAACTCTATTTACACACATTCTTCTCCAAACTTCCTCAAAGAAGCGTACTGCATGTTGGTGATTCTTGAAGGAATCCGACCACCACCATCCTGATAAGAAACCCCTCAAACCACCCTCGCCCACCACAGCTGCACCTGGGACTCACAACGCCATCAGCCCTGCTACTGATAGTAGCCACTTCTCCCTGCGCTTTCCCACTGCTTGTGCTGTCTCAACACTTGTTCTTGGCAGGTAGCCACAGGCCCCCTCACTAATTCCCTCCTCCCTGTCACCCTGCAAAAGGCCCCATAGCCTTAGGAGAGCAGCTGGTCTGGTCTCTAGTGCCAGAGCTGTCCCTCTCAAGTTGGTTCTGAAATAAACCTATCCTGTTGAGCTCATACCTGTTTCTTCTTTTTCTTTTTCCTAACAATTTTTATAATTTATATATAATTATAGTATAGGGGGCTTCATCTTGAAAAGTATGGCCTTTTGGAACTAATTTTAACTACCAGTAATGGCAATTAAAAACACAACTAGTATAATTATTAACGTCACCTCTGTTCCTTTTCATTCTCCAGAAAATGTTGAAAGTAACTGTGTAAACAGGGTTTAGGCGTGTGGATGTTAAGAGATTCCAAAAATGTACAAGACATGGATTTATGCCTTTCAAAGAACAGTAAATAACAAGGGTTTCCAGTGAAAGTGAAGTAGCCATATTGCAGTGGGATCATCTTTGGGGCAACCAAAAAATAATAATAATTGAAATCAGTTTTAAAGGTTACTGTTCTTGGACTTAATCTTATTCATCATGTCAAAGACCTCTACTATGAACTTCATTCAAAAGAAGCTAGGCCGTGAAATCAAACCAAGCAAGTGTTTCTTTTCCCGTCTCCTTTCCTCTTCCACCGCTCTTTTTCTTTGGATGCGGAACAGTTTTCTTTCGCCCATTTGGCGTCTTATTTTGCCAATTCTTCCGGTTTACTTGGTTATTCTAGCTTCCCAACCTTTCCATCAGCCCAACAAGGAGCTGCTTCCCACAACTCTTCATTGATGGAATCCACTACACCTCCCTCAAGCTGTGTCCATTACAGAAATGAGACTCAAATAGGTCTTGTCAACTGTGCACCGGCTTCCTATATTCTACCTTTCTTAAACGCTTAAATTACACTGGAGGTTTGACTGAGGCGGGAGCCCGGCTCCCCGCGCAGGTGTAATTGAGCCTGCTGGCAACCCCGGCTGACGAGATTCGGAGCAGAAACATCGGTAGTAAATGAAGCGAACTCCGGGAGGGGTCGGTTGCGTGTTGAAGGCAGCCAGACACGCATCTTCGGCGTCTCCCACGCTCCCCAGAAGTCACAGTCTGCGGGGCCAAGATGGCGCCAGCCCCCTCGGCAGCAGG